TAAATTGATTTGCATGTCAATATGTGAAATAAGTATTTTATCCCCTATTAATCATCAAGATTTCTGGCTCCCAGGTGTCTCTTAAAGGGAGTGCCCCTAATCTCAGCTTGTTACCTGTATAAAAGACACCTGTCCACAGAAGCAATCAGTCAATCAATCACATTACAAACTCTCCACCATGGCCAAGACCAAAGAGCTGTCCAAGGATGTCAGGGACAAGATTGTAGTCCTGTACAATGCTGGAATGGGCTACAAGACCATCGCCAAGCAGCTTGGTGAGAAGGTGACAACAGTTGGTGCGATTATTCGCAAATGGAAGAAACAAAAAATAACTGTTTTCGTTCTGCGTTTTTATGCTTTTTTTATTGAAAGTTTTCTTTCAGTATACAACTGTGCAATAGTATGAGGGGTATAGTAAATACATATAACTTAAGTCGTCACTGTTTTGTTGCTGCGATCTCGAGGCTCAATATACAGTTTCGGTGCACAGGGATCAGGCATAGTGTAGAAAGAAGGGAGGGAGAAAGTAGGTAAGCGAAGGGCAGGGAGAGAAGAATGGGTCGCAGACCATATTCATAGCAGTCTTTAACATTTGGTAGTTCCAATGTGTGTGATTTTTGTTTCCATGTCTGTCTGGGATGTGCTTCTCCTCTGCTGAGCTTAGTGCTTCATCTGTGCTGTGGGTAGTGCCAGGTGGGGTGGGCTGCTCCAATGCGTCGGAGTTGGCACCTATTCACGCCCGTGGTTTCTTTACTACAGTTGGACGGTCAATTTGGCTCTTCTTGCCCCTGGTGTCTCCTCCTCCTGTATTGTCCTCCCCTGATGGGGTGGGACCTCTTGCTGGATTATCGCCTGTGGAGGAGGCTGGTATTCCCAGTTCATGGTACAGGGTCTCTTGGTCTTCCGATGAGGAGAAGGTGAGTGTCTTATCCATATGGGAGATTTCAAGTGTTCCCCCCGGGGTGAATCTGTACCTCATGGAGTGGTCTCTGAGTTTTTTGGCTACTGGTGCCAGTTTTCTTCTCTCCACCAGGACTGTATATGGGAGGTCGTTGTATATGGACACTGTGCAATTTTCAATGGTAATGTTTCCCATTGATCTGGACTTGTTCATAATTGCGGCTCTCATCACTATGTACCTTGTAATGGCGATAGTATCTCTAGGGACCTCCTCCGGTGCCATTACTGATTTCCGCACCCGGCAGGAGGACATGATGAGTGGTGGATCTGCGTCTCCAGTAAGGCCCACATGTGCCATCATCAGGCACATCACCCCTCCGCTATCCTCTCTGGGATGCCGCGTAAACGAAGGTTCTGGCGTCTATGGCGAGTCTCCAACGAGGCCACTGATTTCTGTAGCTGTTGGATTTGGGTAGTGAGGGTTGTGATTTGTTTTGTGTTGTCTTGGGTTTGAGTGACTCTGGCTTCTTCCCTCTCCTCCACAGTATCCACTCTCTTTTACAGTGCGCTCACTTCAGTCTGCTCTACTTGAACACGTCCCACAACTGAAATTTTTTTAAAGGGACACTGTAGACACTTCTTGAAGTTGTTATAGAGGCTGCAGTCCTGCCAACCTCTCCTAACCATCCAAAACTCTTTATTTTTCTAATAAGAAGGCTTGGAATCACAGCTTAAAGCCACTGAAACTGAAACTTAATGAAGCAATTTTATTGAATAGATCAGGCATAGGCAACCTTTAGCACTCCAGATGTTGTGAATTACATGCCCTCTAATACTTTCCCTGCATTATGCCTGTAAGAGTGTTATGGAAGATGTAGTCCACAACATCTGGAGTGCGGAAGGATGCCTACCCCTGGTATAGATCATGCCTCTCCAGACTCCCTGTTTCTAGCAGGCTATTAACAGAGCAGGAGTTAAGAAATTCTAAATTAAACACATTATGCAATAAAGCAAGTTTTAACATTATTCCTCTCTTTACAGGAAATGTGTAGGGGGACAGTGTTGGTCACATTCAGGGAGGTGTGGCTAGAGCTGCGTAAACAAAGTGATTTCACTCCCAAATGGCAGAGGAAATGGCATGGAAACTAAGAAACCACTATATTAAGCCAATGTTATTTTGGTGCTTATGGTGTCCCTTTAAGTTAAAATAACCATGTTAGAAAAATTCTCAAAGTTGGACTTTTTTTTTTTTTTACTTATTTGGCCTTATTTTTGCAATAGGCTCACAGTTCACTATAAGTCACTGTTCAAGTTACTAGACCCCCAAAATATAATAACCACTTATAGACTGTTTATAGACAGATGGTTTGACTGTTAACGTGCTGAGTGCTCATGGTCTGAGTCGGTCTAATAAAGCAGAAGTTAACACTTACACAGTACCCTTTAAACAGCATTCATTGCCAGAAAGCAAAGAATTAACCGAAACTCTCGCAGGGATTCCTGGCACCATAAGCATGCATTTTAATGGTTATGGTGCCCAGAATGTCTGTTTTAAATAAGGTTTTACTAGAGCAACCCTTCTTGCAATGTCACAGGATACTCAAGTACCCTACACAGCATTTGAGCACAAAAAACAGCAAATATTGCCAAAATTATTTCACAGGAAAAAGTGTAAAAAAACATTTTCCCATTGAACTTTACCATATGTGAAGAATACATTTAATCTTTTGACTTTCTGTAGACTTTTAGATTGTTCATTACATGGTTATTTGAATAAATGTCTGTTTTTAGACAAATACTTATTTGGAACATAGCAAGCTGGAGGAGCTTAAGACGACACTTGGGCAATATTGTTTAGAGTTAATCAGGGTCGCTCTGAAGTGAAGTCATGTCCTCATATACATTAAAAATTACAGAGAAAATAACTAATTCTCTTACATTTTAATACAGTATACCACTACAGTTAGGTTGGATAAACAGTGACAATTGAAGATAATCTACTAAACTCATTTTTGTATTTTAAATTAATGTTTTGCCTTCTGAAATGCATAAATAGTCTTTGATCTATACGCTACGGAAAGTGTCCTCTTTAGAAGTTCAAAGAAAAAAATACATTCAGTTTTTTTGTTCTGTTTTGTTGGTGTGTACATATTTATCTCTTTTTTTTCTGTAATCTGTTTTTGGTTTTTATATGGTCTTCACTAATATCTTGGAATGTCAACATTAACTATTCCATGATATTTTCATACTTGGTTATATATTCCATCCTCGTTTTGTCCATAAACGGTAGTCAGGTTTGCTGATGACAGTCTCCATTTGTTTTTCACACCTAGCTCATTGGAGTGTGCGTTCAATGCTGGAAAAAAGCATGGAACCACAAGTCTCATCCAAGTAGAAATACAGTTTCAGACAGATTAACAAAGTGACAATTTATAGACAATAAATGACAAGACTACAAAACACCTACCACATGCTTGTTGCTGAGACATGAACTTCCAAGTAAAGCAGGTTTTAACATAAAATCTTATAAAATTGATGCTTGCTAATGTAGTCCTACATTACAATCCAGCATCGGTAACAGATTGATAAAATATTTTGACTTTAGGGCAGTTTTTTAAACGATCGTAGTTCAAATTTCACAATCTTCCTATTTAGATGTTCGTTCCCCCAATTTAAGCAAAAAAAAAAAAAGCATTTACGTTAATTTTATTTCCCAACCTCGCCTCATCTGGCTGGGATCATCAAGTCCCATAGGAAAGCAAGGAGAGACTTTTGCCATGAGTAACAAGTAGCCCAGTGCACCAATCAGCATCTCCTCATAGAGATGCATTGACTCAATGCGTCTCTGTGGGGAGCGTTCAGTGTCTCCATTCAAAATCTCTTTATAATTTGGTGTTAAGACGACTAAAGTCCCGATTTAATAAGCTTTCAAAATGATTCAAAGCTCTAAGAAAACCTTTCCAAAGGATTTATCTACAGAAGTTACCATTAACATATATAGAAATGTTTTTTGATAAATCATTTTAAATAATTTTAAAGGATTTTCTGACAATATGGAATCATTTGGAAAGCTAATTAAATTGAGGCCTTAGGCCTCGATTTAATCTTTTTTAGATAAGTGTTTCAAATAATTTAGTATTTTTGGATATACTTTTAAAATTCTTATTTTCCAAATATTAAAATATAAAAAAAAAATCATATATACAAAAATAAATATATTAAAATAAAATCAAAATATTACTACATTTCATTTTTTTCACAATATTAATAAAAAAGAAGCACATGGAGAGACAAAATACACAAAAAAAGAGCGATGTGCAAACCATATAAACACTCCCTCACGAAGTATCCAAATAATCGTAAACTACAGAATGCACACTATAATCACTGCAAGTAAAAAAATGCAATTTATTAAATACAAAAACAGTACCACTTAGGAATAATACAATAACAATTAAACAAAATAACAATAACAAGGGCACATATAATATTAAATAGTAGTTTACTATTTATTACTATTTAATATTATATTTGCCCTTGTTATTGTTATTTTTTGTTTAATTGTTTTTGTATTATTCCTATGTGGTACTGTTTTTGTACTTAATAAATTGCATTTTTTTTACTTGCAGTGATTATAGTGTGCATTCTGTAGTTTATGATTATTTTCACAATATTAAAACATTTTAAAAATGTATCCAACAGTATAAAATAATTTGAAAAGCTTATCCAACAATCTTAAAGGGACACGATAGTCACCAGAACAACTACAGCTTATGTTCGGCACTAATGTTCAGCGTCTCAATGCTCTGCATGGAGGAGATACTGATTGGCCAGGTGCTGTGATATTACCACTATTGGAACTTCCACAAGTACATGAGATGACAATTCTTGGGTTTTCTACATGATATGACAGAATAATTAGCAATTTTCTATTTCAGGACAGCAAGTATACCCAAAGAGTAAATAAACGCCATGTGACTATTGATAAATGTGTATGATATCATTTTAACCCCTTAATGACACATGACGGAAATATTCCGTCATGTTTCCCTTTTATTCCAGAAGCTGTGTCCTTAAGGGGTTAAACTCATATAACTTACTCTTCCACTTGCTAGTGGAGCTATTTTTAAAAAGCTGTGGACTAATTTCATCCCGCAGTTGGAATTCAGTAAGTCGTACTGTCATCGTTTGCTTCTTCATATTCCTTGGTTCAGAAGAGTCTATATAAAATAATTGAGATGAATAAGACAATGTAAAACAGACGTTGGAGATAAAATAATCTTAAACTCTTTATTATACGAGAGCCTGCAAAGCTCCCTCGGAGATGGCAGTACTGGAAGATGTGATATCATATATATCACTTCCTTCCAGTGTTACCATGGAGCTGCTGTAACTGGCAGCTGAGGATCAGACACGGTGCCAAGGAGACTGGGATATTGCATGTTATATCACTGCACTGTGTCTCTCAGATTGCACTACAGCCCAAGCTGCAATACATGGGGGGAGAAAAGGGTGGCTACTTACTGTGGAGAAAAGAGGTTGGGAATTTGTATTTGTGTGTGTGTGTCTCTGGCTGTATGTCACCTTAACAGTGTATGTGTATCTATTGTATGTGAGTATGTATGTCTGGCTGTGTATCTGTTTGACATTGCGTGTGCATCTAACTATGTGTGTGAGTTTGTATATGTTTGAAAGTGTATGTGTCTAAAGATGTGTGTGAGTGTGTGTGTTTGTCTGGCTTTGTGTCTGTTTTAAAATGTGCACGAGTCTCTGGCTATGCGTGTGTCTTACAGTATATAAGAGTGAGTTTGACTGTGTGTGTATATCCAACTGTGTGTGGCATGTGTGTCTGACAGTGGAAATCTGTGTGTGTATTGCTAACATTGTGTACTTGTGTATGTGACTGTGTGTGTGCATGACATCGTGTTTTTGTGTCTGGCAATGTGTATGAGTGTATGACCGTTTATGTGTGTATGTTTGACAAGCGGTGTGTATCTAGGTGAGGGGGCCCCGCCAATATTGTTTTTAAGGGGCCCTAAAATTGCTGTTGGCGGCTCATAATGACTTGACACACATATTGATCATACATACTATTGTATGCAAGAGAAAATATAATTTGTCATTGGGGTGGCTCTAAAATTAAAAAAATGTAATCATTGAAAGAAAAAAAACATGCAGAGACTAATGAAAAAAAAAATTTAAATTAAATTTAAAAAATTAATTTATTTGGCCTTATTTATATAAAACTTGGTGGTATGAATTAAAAAAATAATAATGAAGTATTTTTAAAAATTATTATTATTTTATATTAGCTGTATTTTTTTAAAAATTGTCTTGTATATTTGAGGCAGGAACATGAGTCATTAAATTGGTGCTGACTGAAAATTGTTCCAACCATTTTACATGTGATTCCTATACTATTCATTAGTTTGACACGTCGACCATTTTACAAGTATTTTCATGATGTTAATTGCGAGGACAAGCTGTCTGTCACTGAGCCTGCTGTTCTCTATTACATCATAGGTCATTGCATTTTACACATTGTGCATACATGTTTTTTAGTTGCAATGCTAAAACGCAAAGAAAAAAGTGAACAAAGATTTAAGAAACCTGTGCTGTCCAAAAAAACCAAGAAAGGAAATAACGTGTTGAAACAAATGAGTGAAACTCCATGCTATATCATCTATTTGTCTTCATTCGTCCATTTGTAACCTGCTTTTAATTGTTAAAATGTGACAAGACGGGCAATAAGGAGCGACCTTTCTCTGACAGCCCATTTGATGATCATTCCTGATTGCCTCGCACAGATGGCAATGAATACGTTGTTTCGGTTAGATTATTTGCTTTAAGAAGTGTAATGTAAACACCCATTATTCATTGCACACGCATTATTTATGAACTTGTTTTAATTTGCCTAAAGAATGGCAGATGTACGCATAGAAAAATAAAATTAATGTTTAATTTTACTGTGGTACTATTTGCTGAGTTAATGGCCTGGGGCCAGCCAGATTCCTGCAAATATGTTTGTGAGCCATCATATCATATGTGTATATGCTTGTACTATGAGAAGTCAAGTACAAAACTAACAATGAACTGGATCATTGTAGAGAAAAAACGTCCCTAACCAAACCAAACTAAGGTGTACTTTCCATGAATGGTTTAACATATGCCGACTAAAGTTTGTGTCTACACCATTTCTGCTTAAAGAGTCACTTCAAACCCCTGAAGCAGCTTAGCTTGCTGAAGTCCTCTATGTGTGAAGAGTGTGTCCTCTCTTTTCTTAATTTTACAAAGAGCAGAATTGATTGGAAATTGTAATTTTTATAAATTAACCTTGTTAAATTCTCTGGCTATCAATCAGATAACCTTCCTGTTACTTCCTGGTTCGGTTAGCTCATTGGAGCTAAATTCAAGAGGCAGCAACTGACCAGTCACTTACCTTACAAAGACCTACCTTCTCATTGAGCTGTATTGGGAACACAATGAAAGTCTGGGCGGGGTTAGAAGGGGAGGGCTTGCAAAGGCTGCAGACAAGAGATCTGCAGTTTTTGTTAAATGGATTTAGATATACACCCAATGAGAAAAATGCGTAATTTAAATTTTTCATTGGGGTTGTGTCTGCTAAACAGTGATTTTTATTCATTATTATTGGGGGGCACAGAATTATTTTTGTAATTCGGGACATGCATCACAAGTCCAAATATGAATGAGTAATTCAATGAACAAAAAGACAGGAATATGAAATATTGCATGAAACAGGTAGAAGGATAGAGGTAGTAATCAGGATAAAGGATAGCATATCACAGATCTGGATCACAGATTCCTGTCATCATTCACGTCATTTTCCCTCCCTATCTTGTTTTGCACTTTTCAGAAATCCAATGCACTTCGGTACTTCTGAAATTAGGCACTTCGGCAATTTAGGTCGGTTTGGCACTTTGGCAATTCATTTCGGTTCAGCACTTCCGAAATGCGGCGTTTCATATATTCAGAAGCATCCAAATGTCCGATTTGCCGTAATTCATTCGAATTTACATTCGGAACTAAACGAATTGCACATGTCTAATACACACTTATATAGAGTTCAGCAAATAGTAATGTGGAGAATAGACTTACCTTAACAGGCTGTTGGGTGCAGGTAATTAAATACAGCTCCAAAACTAATGGAACATACACCAAAGTGTTTGATGTTCCTGATAAAGTTTCTGTCCAATAATGGTCTTTGTAATGCATATGGTAAAATAAAACTCCTTATTTGACAAATTAGAACAAATTGCACCCATATATTTGCCCCACAAACACTGCCCCACAAACACAAAAGCATTTATTGTGTTTTATAGTAAATCACCAACAGTGGTGAATTCTGTATTATCGCTGTAATTGTTAGGAGACTAAATATCATCCATAAGTAAAGGACATCTGTCACCTCAAAACTATTTTTTAAATATAATAATCCTTTTATGGACAAGATCCTTCAGCCATATACATGCACCTTGAGTCAGACAGTGTTTGAGTCCTACAGTTAGTCTCTGTCTGCATGGACAGTCAGTTTAAAAGTCTTCAGAAATTTCTGTTTAGAGAATAGATGGCACTGTTAATTTCTATTACACTGTAATTTTTAAGGAGTCAAACGACCAAACAGAAAAGTGGACATTGCAACTTGAAAAACAAAACCCTCATGTTTTTGAACACACTAAAATCTTTCCTTTAATTACACAGCTAAACTTTAGGAGACAGATGTTTTGTACATCTGAAGTACATGATCAGTTGTTATTCCTGCAGATGTTTTGCATGTGCAGAGGCAAATAAAATGTCGTATTTATTCTTTAAAGGAATAACAAGCACACATGGATAACTTGTAGCCCAGCAAGTCAAACTCAATGCTAGGATGTTATGATGCCGTTACCTTTGAACTGACAAAGTTCCTTAAACAGGAAGTAAGAGAGAAAGGAAAGTGCTTAACATTGAAATGTTGATAAGATGTTTGTTTTTAACTAAGCCACATGCACGAAGGATAGTTCAGCGCACGCACTTACATACAAGGCTTTAACATCCATCACAAAATTTTATAAAAAATAAAAAAAATAAGATTTCTCCGATGGACCAAATGGACCTTCTATGACAAGTCAATAACAATTTTCTTAGCTACAACTATTAAACCCAAATCTGTTATCCACTCAGTTTGATGAACTGTGCATGGAATTCTAACCATTGTTCATCTCGTATTGCCAAATATTTATTGAATATTTTCATTCACTTTATAACTATATCCTAGTCCTAGGTCATATGACATCTCATTGTGCTCTTCAACACAAAATTTCTTGTCCTACCGTCTTTCGTCTGATACTCACCTTTTGGACTTGTACACTCCTATGCAAGACAACAAGGTAATTAAATCTCTAAAATCCATAAACGTTTCTCATCCAAATGGCATTGGCAATACTGATTCCCCTCTTGTGTCCATTATTAGAAACCTTTCCTTTTTGCAATGTCCTTTGCCAAGGAAACTAACCACCTAAACCACTGATCTTCATAGAAAGCCTGGGAATTGAAGGCAATGCATGAAAAACACATTATTTCTCAAAACTAGACACACTAGGCAAAGTATGAGACCATAATGCATAATGTCTCTCAAGGTGTTGGTGGTCCACTATGGTTGTCTTCTGAAACATTTTCCGTGTACTAAAAATGTTTGCTTGCAGTAGGGTTTTAAAGACCATGTTCAGGACTATGTCCTGCTAAAAGGTGAGTTAAGTTTATATTTCGAAAAAATAGGTGTTAAAAGGAAATATAAGACATTTAGGACTGAAAGGTGAGTATATCCTTACTGTTCAGTCTTAAAGTGGTTAACATTAAAGCTTGTAAATCCCTAATCTTGGTAGAGATCAAGGCCTACTCAATATGTCTGTTTCAGGCTGATCTACATTTCTTGGATGGCAGGAATTATGAGGGCCATAGCCAATAGGCAAACTGAAAACCCCCGATTTAATGTACCTAGTGCTATAGAATTCATCTGCGTCATATAACAAAAGAATGTTTAAAAAAATATTATTTTGTTTAAGGAATCACAGCATTTAGGCCCATCTGACATCAGCAGAGACCTTTACAGTTTAATACAGTTTCAATTCAGTTGATAGTGAAGAATCCAGAATTTTTTTATCAGCTGAACTGAATAGAATTGAGTTGAATAGAACTGACTGCTATAAGGAATTTGTGATTTGGTGCATAAACCCCAAAGTACCATGCTTAACACTCTTCATGCCTGGTAGAGTACTGAATCATAAGCTATTCTTAATAGCTCATACCATGCCTCTGCCTTATATTATGTATAACCAGATCGGTTAATGCGTACATTCTATGTTGAGCATTCTATTTCTCCCAGGGGAAGAAAGCATATGACAATCATTTGCTATTGTGTAATTTCTACAATGACCACAGAAAGCTTGACATTTGCATAGTCGCCTTACCGGCACATGCATAACCCCACCTTTACCCATTTCCCAATAAAACACTGACACCATAATTTTGGCAAATGTATATCACAGCTTTATTAATTGTTAACCGTAAATTTAAAGGTCATTGTCAACAGCATGCCAACATTGGCCTGCACAATTTCCATCTTGCATTTTACTATTTAAACCCCCTGACAATGACCCACTCCTACATAAACATAATACCCAAAACATTGTAACACCATGAACTTAACATTGAACATCGTCATTGCCACCAAAGGGCACCACCCATTGCCACCAAAGGGCACCACGAGTGTAGGGGCATACCAAGACACCCATACACACCCAGGTTCGGAGCTACCGACAAGCTCGAACCTACCAAACCAGTCCAAAGGCCTACCTATTAGCCCTGAACTCCAATTTTACCCCATCTCACTCATTTCTCCCCCCAACTTTACTCTCCATTCCCAGCCGCTGTGACCAAACGGGAAACACCTGAAAGCAAAGGGTGGTGGGTGGGACAACAACAGGTAAGTGCAACTTAGATTAAAATGTCCCTTAGACTTAAAATGGCCCCTTCTTATACTCCCCTTATAACTCCACCCCACTTTCATTTTCTTTGGCAATCCCCAGCTAACTGTAACTAGGTGCCTGACCCCTAGCAATGTCAAGGTCCACTCCCCTTAGCTACGCTGCTCCATGGGCTACATTCTTGGCAAACTCTTCAGGCTTTGTCCTAACGTCATTGATAACCTCTTGTGTAAGTGAGATCGGTCGGCCCCATGCAATCTGTATGATAAAGTTTTCAGACTATGAAAACCAGAGCATAACACACAACTAAATTCCGCATTAACCCCTACAGAATGCTAGGATGTTCCATGCTGTCCTTAGGAAGGCATGGAATGTCCTTGCATTTTAATGTCCTTGCAGGTTAAATCCCTACTCACACCGGGGATATCACGGGTATCAATCAATATCTGGGGCTCCAATCTCAGTCATATGTTGTGGTCTTAGACTGACAGATGAACTGTATGCAGCTCTATAAGTGAGTGCTGCATGTAGCCGTTTAAATCCCTGTAAGTTGCAGTGGTTGAGCGATCACATTCCGCCGCACTGATTCTTAGCCTGCCCTTAGACAGAGGGAAACCCCCAAAGTCTGAGAGGACACTGAAAGGGCTTCCTAAAGTAATATGTATAGACTATACACATGACTTTAGGCGTGAGGTGGATTTTTTAAATTACGCAACACACACATCACGGAGACATGGCGGGTAGGGGAGGAGAAGCAAGGCTATCTAGGCATCCTTTAAGACGCTCAGGGAATGCTAATGGTCCATGGTAAAGGGGCGCAATACTTGCTCTGGCACCCCATCATATGCCACTGGGTAGGTATATGGTTTGAGTTACTGTAAGCATAGGGTTAGGGATAGGGTTGATATAGGGTTAGTGTTAGCTACCAAAAATATTGTAGATTCTAGACATATGAGGCATTTTACAATCAGGACTGATATGTGAATCTTTTTTAAATATATATGCTATCCACATTACTTGTGTAATGTCAAGTTTTGTGAGGCGTAGGAAAAATGCTGAAGACAAACTAGTCTCTGTTAGTATATCTTTTGACTATGTTAGGTAAATTAAGTATTTAATTTTATCTTTATATTTTATTTTTATGAATTACTGTGTGTGGGGGGGGGGATGGGGAGAGGTGGGTGAGTAGAACTGTCACTTCAATTAAAATCATATTTACAAAAAAACAAATAATCTCTTAGATTTCTGTCATTTACTTAAAAAGATGGATGTTTCTAACAAATACAATATTATTATTGTTCGATTACCGTTTGTTTGTAGGTATTAGCTTTAATAAATGACCTGTAGCAAAAGTGATTGTGAATAAAAGGTGCCAGGGGTGCAGTTTAAGCGTAGTTTTATCAATATTTTATTTTTTCAGGTCAGTAATCTGCAATTGATTTCTCAGTTATTCATGTTCCATGTTGGTTTTGTCAGGTTCACATTAAGAGCAACACCCTTCATTTAAAAGTCACCATATCAATCTATATATGTAAGTCAAGAACAAGATTAAAACACATTTAGGGAAAGCAATTTATCGATTTAGGTCTTCACAAGACATGATAGAGCTTGAATTGGACATATTGGTTTAACCTTACGTTTTAGAGATCTAATGGGAATTTTCTAAATTAACTAGCGCAGCAACATGAAAGAAAAATAAATGGTTTGAACAAAAGAGATTTCAGCTTGTCTTGGTATTAATGGCAATTTAATAGAACGGAAATAAAACTAGACGAATATAGGCATGCCCCTTTAAATATCACGTCTTTCTAGTTATTCATAGACAACTCATTATTTGGCAGTAAATAGGCTACCCGTGGGTAAGATTAAATTCATTTTGATTAGGTACTTTTAAAGACTGCATGGGATTTGTCCATAATGGTCTTTTTAACTAACCAATGTCAAGCCAAATAAAGCATGAACAACATAAGTTTGTGCGTTGGCTATAGCTTTAAGAGAACAGACCATTATAATATACACTATATAGCAGAACTGAGCTACATTATTCACTGTACCTGTAACCTCCAATTCTTCAATTGATAAGCTCTAGCATTCATCACCAACTCCATCAGACAAAGGGCTCCTCTCTCCAGTATTCTCACCCAAACATGTACATATCTTGATACTTTTCTCTCTGGCAAGGCTCTCTCACATTGTGACAATAAAAGAGAGAACCCACAAATAAAAATAAACAGTATTAGTATACAAAACATGCCGATGATATTTACAAAGACTGTGGGAGGGTGGGCAGAACGATGAGTATTGATCCTACTGCTCAGCTGCCCTGATGATAGAAGGATAAGACCCTTCTTACAATCTAAATATTAAGATCCAGAAAGGACAAAAAAAAAAATCGAGCAGGAAATTGACCGACAGATGTAAACCTGAATACATGTACTTCATCCCTAACTTGTCCAAAGGTCCTGTTTCTTTTAACCCCTTAAGGACACATGACATGTGTGACATGTCATGATTCCCTTTTATTCCAGAAGTTTGGTCCTTAAGGGGTTAAAAGAGTATCTTTTGGTCAGTTTCACGTTTTATTCCAATTTTCATTTTTTATTCCATCTGAATAGTAACAGTTTGTTGGGGAAAGGACACACTAACTTTGTTATGGGGTTAGGGCACATTTGTATGTCTCTGTCTTAGAATATTTATCTGATCCAAGCACTCGAATGTACTAACTCACCTTAGAAATATTGCCTTGTAAATGGTGACATTACAAAAAGTTACGATCTACTCAAGGACGTTTTCATTTGCTCCGTGCCCAGGTTAATTGTGGACATATGTAGAAATTGCTTTAATGTTTTGTCTTCAATTTAAATCTCTTCTAATTCTCAATAATGTTTCTATTTCATTCCCACAAAACTGAACTTTCAGTATTTACTTGTAAATATACACTAGTTCCCCTAAGAGACCAGCCATTTAAATCAGTGTGAGACTTATTTTATTGGTGAGTAATGAATTTGTTTTCTCATATGTGAACTGGAGAGTTCCTGACCTCCGCCAAAAACAAGAGAATGAACTAATTAAACCAATATGCACATTATGTGGGAATGAATGTGTTCCTCCAAAACGTACGAATGTAATCATGCAGAAAACCAGACTCTCTCCTTTTCTACTTTTATTTTTTTAATATCCTGGATAATTTTAGCTACTTCCTAACATACTATAAAAATAGAACAAATGGGTGGTCGTGTTTTAGTTGAAAAAAAGCATCTGCTTCGCAATACAAATATCTGTGTGTTCAGCTTTGGAACAGACAGTGTGCGCTAAATACCTCTGGAAAATAATAAAGTATTCTAAACAACAGAATGGCCTAAATATGTGAAATCAGGGAATGTTTGT